TATAATATAATATATTATATATTATATTATAATATATTATATTCTTTAATATATATATAAGGTTTTTAATTTCTTCAAATATTTCTTCAAAAAGGAATTATTTGACAAATGAAATAAATCACGATGTGTTGCTCTGTAAACAAAGTTGTTTTATTTTATTAGTTTTAAAGTTACATTACCGAAATAACACTTCTGAAATGTAATCTACACTCTCACCTGTAAACAAAGAAACGACATTTAAAGTTTATTCTTCACTATATCAATTCATTTTTATTATTTATCTTTTCCCACTTCACCATGTATCGATTACGCCATATTGTTTTTTCTTATGTCTCATGTCGATGACAGCGCGACGCGTGGATAAAGTTGTTTNTGTAAACAAAGAAACGACATTTAAAGTTTATTCCTCACTATATCAATTTCTTTTTATTATTTATCTTTTCCCGCTTCACCATGTATCAATTACGCCATATTGTTTTTTCTTATGTCTCATGTCGATGACAGCGCGACGCGTGGATAAAGTTGTTTTTTAATTTAATTAATTGAAAGAGAGATTTTTCACTTTACATCTCCCCCCTGGGGAAGAAAATTTTCAGTATAATTTTCGCTAATCATCTCCATCATCTTCAATTTCACTGTCTTCCAATGCAGGAACTGGCATAAGTTTTGTAATATGGTACAGGTTTGGATCAGTTTTTCTGTGTCCAGTANAATAAACTAATAAATGTTGAGTTCCGTTTACAGTTGCACAAAAAAATAGCAGAAACTAGTTTCGGTTTATAGTTTTATGTCTCATTCAAGAATTTATTGATTTAAGAAATACAATAGATACTTTTTTTATTCTTACCGCCCTAGGCAATAAGTGAATAACCTTTAGCGTAATCATTTCGAATCGGTTTAAACCCTCACACGATTAAGGACCAAATAGAAGTAACTTATTTATGCTTTTCAAGTTTTATAAAATATAAATCTAACAGTAGATATATAAATAACATCTAGTGGCGTGTTATGGGAATATCATAATTTATAAAATTTATAAACAAATCTGATAGAGTATTATCTACGTCATCGTTAAAATCGCACTGTAACTTTGCGGATTAACTTATGAAAGATAGCAGAGGATTCAAACCAGACCTTAAAATAGACTTCCCAAACATAAAGCAGAACTATTGTCACACTTCAACAAATTTAAAGTGTTTCAATGTGTTTTACCTATTGTACTATGAGTAATTATGATTGTCACATGTAATATTAATTGCTTATTAATTTACAGAAAAGATAATAACTGATTACATTTTGTTACTTTTAGTGTTCTAATGTTAATTAATATAACACACATTAATTTATGTGCAAGTTTTAAATTTTAAATTTTAAAAGTAGAGATTAAAATTCATTTTAAAACATACTTTCATATGAAATATTATCTTTTGTCACTGATTTAATGTATTTAATCGAAATATACGCAGCAATAATCATGTTACAGACAGAGTGAGAAATATGTAAACAAAAATTCAAATCGGTGTGCATGCTCGCCTGTGTGAGATCTGGAATTTTAGTAATGAAAATTATGCCCTTTTATTAACAAAAATTTTAATTAATTTACTTTCGTTTATGTAATGAACTAGAAAAAAAACCGATCTTAGCCGGAAATGTGTAAACCTTCCTGTCATAACTATCAACATCTATTGTTCTCTGCAGAACGTGCAGCTCATTTTGCAGAAAAGTTTATGGTTAACATCCAACTTTCGTCACTTGTTTTAAGTCCCTGGGACACCTATAACCTTTAACTCATGAACATCTGATCACATGGTGGAAATTCCCCACAAAAAGCTATAAAAGACAGTTCTTACCCCCTCTCGGGGGAGTCTCTTAACGAACGCCGGACCGACAACATTGCGCCAATTCTCCAAACCCGCCAAACTCCAATCTACGATCGATGATAACAGATCATCACCAAAGTCGCAAACTTTGTAAATTTGTGCTCTATTGGATAAAACCTCCTTTTCTTTGGACAAATTAAGGGCTTCTACGGACTTACTCGTCAAGGAACCTACAAAGAGGTATGATAAGCATGGAAATTCTCTCTTGAGAAATTAGGCGGTTTAGAAATGCTATTTGTGTAGTCTTTTTGTTCATTTTGCTTAGTTTAATAAATTGTTGTTATACTGTATTTGTTATAAATGGTAGACTCCTTTACTCGATCATGCCCTTCACCTTATCGTCGATCCCAAAATTCTCTCCTGAATTTTGAAAATCCTGTTGGGACTCGCCTGACATTTGAGTCCCAACCAAAGGGACCGTTATCGTAAAACAAGCTATCCTGACAGTGAGCAGGTTTAATGACCTGTTGTCCATACAGGGAGAGAAGACAATTCCCGACCTTCCCGGCGGTTCACCCCTGCGCGGCACATAAATTCTCGTGTGCGGCAACAATTTGAGCAGTGCACAGTCGCGCAGCTTAGAGGGAACATTGGCTGGAGCCCAAAATGTGCCTTGTAATTAGCGTCCCAACCTAATAAAAGATGAATAATCTGCCAAGTGTTTAAAAAGTGTCACTACATCATGTCTATGAAAAGTAAAAGGAAATAAAAAAAACACAGTTTCATTGGAATAAAAATAATTAAATAATATCATACTTGAACTCTCTTAATAATAATTAATAAATGGCAAAATATATTATCTGTCGTACATAATCTATCATATTACTTATGATACTAAAGATATACAACCTTAGAGAAAACCAGCATCGATTTTACTCTTGAATTAATATTTTTGGCTACTCGGGCAAGTTTGGTTGTGGCAATGAGAAATCTATGCGGAGTATTTTGGTTAAAAGTTTATTAAAAGAGACAAGTTATTACACAAAGCCAAAGTAAATAATGAATTACAACTGGAAAGTGAACTATAAAATGAATTGTGAAGTTGGGTGGAAAGAAAAATTAGGATTTTTTAAATTACTCAGACAGATACAGTAGATAGACTTTGTAATTTTACAATCTAATTAGTCTCCTACAAAATTGTTGTGAAGCAATCTATTGCAAATAAAAAAATAAATATATCATAAATTAATTAAGGTTAATACAGTACAAGTGAAGAGTCAATCTACACAAATTTTTAAGCAATTTGAAATTTTTTGGCATTTTTGTTCTTTAGATAATTATTGCTACAGTTAGCCTTCTTGTTGCCCTCTATTTTGCATATTTCCATTATATTGGCAATATTTTTGTCTTTAACATAAAACAATTCTTACAGCTTAATCATAATGAAGTTCATTACTTTTTAGCATTGCAAATCATAGTAATGCTATTTAAGCCTTACTCTATAATCACTTTTTTCTTATTCGGTAAATGAATAAAGTTTTAGCTGCATAGCCTAAATAAGCAATTATTATACTTATCAAAGTTGATATGCTGAAATACAATAATTTCCAAACTGTAAATATGGCTAAGTAAATCTACATGGAGTAAACCGTAATGCTGCATTTGTATATTTGTTATCATTTCTTTAGAACTAGTTTGAAATTTAAATTAAAAAATTTTTAACAAATTTTGAATTCTCATAAATATAAATTAACTATTTTATTCAATATATTTTTTAAGCAAATTCAGGCAGAAAACAAATTTAAGTTATATGAATAATAATGTAAAGTTGTAAAGATTATGTACTTTTAAATCTATTTAAAATCTGTTTGAATTGATTTGAAAAAGTAATTTTAGAAATTTGAAGTCATTATTAATTAAAATTTAAACAAATTTTATATATTTTTAGGTAGTAAATTTAGAATATAAACAGTTTTTATCACAGTGGAAAACCTGGCTATTTACATCGACTAAAAGAGATGAATTATTATCTTCATTAAAAACAGTAATCAGGTAATTTGATAAATGTGATTTTTAAGAAATTAAAAATAATATATATATATTTTTAAACATATAAAATTTAAATTTCAGTGAAAACCAAGCTCATATTCAACAAGTAAAGGGAGAAATAAAAAGTTATAATTCAGAAATCCAGAAAGAATTAGAAAAAAATGAACAACAAAATTTATTAATTTCACAAAGAAAATCTGAATTTCTTCATTTATCTAATTTAAAAGAAAATACTGAGGAAGATATACAACATATTCTTCAGATGTATATTTTATTAAAATGTTCAATGGATGAATTAGAAAATAATTATCAAAAGATAAATCAGGTATTTAATATTTTATTATACTAGATCAGTGTCTTCAAAGTGGGATATGCAAAGTGATATTTGGGGATATGCCAAGTTTCTTTTTAAAATACTTTGTAAAATTAGACAGACTGCAGACAGCACACAGTCATTCTCCTGAAGAAGTAGGCTTGTGATCGTACACAGAAAAAATTCAAATTGTGTGTAGCAGGAAATTTAGCAGGAATTATATTATATTATAGGGGGTACAACTTATAATTATTTTTGTCTTAGGGGTACGCGATCAAAAAAGTTTGGAGATCACTGTACTAGATGATCAAACAAAACATTTACTTGTGTGAGATAGACTTTGCAATGCCACAAAACAGCCATAATACTACTCTGCTAATAGGTCATTGAGACACTCTTTCAAGGGCTGTGACAGGTAGGCAAGGAACCGAAATGTGCAAATTGCCATGCCATGAGGCCCTTCCCGAAGGAAAACAAGTAATGATCAACCACAATGCTTTCTCAAATGTGTGTGCCCGTCTTCTTAAATACCGAATTAGACAAATCTCTGTCACAATGTATGAATAATTAGGGACTTCTTTGGGTTCTCTTCTATTTCCTGTCCTTCCAGCCCTCTATTATGGATCACAAGGATACCAAGTTTACAGGCAAGCTGTGGATTCTTCAAATTAATCTGCAACGGTCTAAAACAGCAAACACTGAGGCCCTCCATATCTCTATGGAAGAGGGAATTGACATTCTTTGTATGCAGGAGCCTTATCTGGCACAGAGCAAAGTGGCCCATTTTGGCAATCTTCAGTACACACTTCCTCAAATTCCATTACTCCCAAGATTGGGATTGTGATATGCAACAAAAACATCAATGCAAGGTTGGTTCAAAACCACTGTAATAAGTATCAATACTACACTATTGCTGTGGAGCTCCCTGACATTGCTGTATATATTATCTCCTATTGCTCTCCATTGGAATCACTGGAGCCTGCCCTGCATTTTCTGGGGCAGACCACCAATACATTGGATGGCAAAAATGTTTTCATCACTGGGGACTTCAACACCGAATCGCTGCCACATCAACGATTTAGTGTTGAAGTCAAAGATCCCAGATGCAGGGTCATGTTGGAACTGATGGCTGTGGCAAGCCTTCACTCTGTCAACACCAGCCCGCTTCCAAAAGCTGAGTGGACATCTGCCTGGCCAACAACAGCACCATGAGTCAAGGTCTAAAGTGCAGCACAGTAGACCATCAAACTGCCAGTGATCATACATACATCCAGACAGAGTTGTATGGACTCCAAGTACAATGTAAAATCAGTATCACTCACAGGACAATCTGGGAAAATTTCTAAAATACCCTGAAAAATATTTGGGCTCCTCCCCAAATTATCAATATTACTACAAATGTGGAAGTTGACAACATAGTCACGACTCTCTGAGATAAGATCCATTCTGCCTATTGGACTTCAATCACCATCAGAGTGTATAAAAAGGATACTCTCTGGTGGCACTGCAACCTAAACCGCAAGAGAAAAGACACAAGGGTAGCCAGGCAGAAGTTCAGGTGTGAGACTGACCATTCAAGACAGGAAACCCTTTGTCAAGACTATATCAATATTCTCAAGAACTACAAAAAGGCTATTAACCAGGCTAGGATAGACTCTTGGAGGAAGTTCTGCTCAGATGCAAGTAAGGAACCCTGGTCGACTGCATACTACATCACAGTCAAGAAGGAGAGAACCACTAGCCTCCCTCCTACCCTTAGTCCATCAACGGACCACCAGAATCCATCTCTGACACGCTCAGGACAATCTATACCAGCCTCTTCCCCACAGATGACCCATACCTTGACACCCCTTACCAAAGGGAATCTAGGAAGAACTCCCTCTGGGACAGTAACACCACTGACGACCCTCTTTTCACCATAGAGGAGATTGCCAATGAATTCGAACAGATCAATCCCAGGAAGGCCCCGGGCCTGGATCATATAACAGGTCTGATGGCTAAGCATACCTTTAGAGCTACCCCCACCACCTTCTCCACTCTGTAACAAATGCCTTGAGATGGGTTACTTCTCCAGGGAGTGGAAGAAGGCATCTATCAAGCTCCTCAAAAAATCCCTTGAAGACCATATTACTTCACCCAAGAGATACAGGCCAATTTCTTTTCTCTCAGTCATTGGGAAAATTTCGGATGCCCTTCAAGCCAACAGGGTAACCTACCACTATGAACACAAAAAGCTGATAAATCACCATCAGTATGGGTTTAGGAAGGGTAAAAGCATGGTTCATACCCTTGCCAATCTTGTGCCATATATTAACAAGGCCAAGAAAACAAACCGGCACACCCTTCTGATCTCCCTGGACTTTAACATCCAATTGCAGAGACAAAGTTTATGTTAAACGACGTTTATCAACAGAATGGCCTATAGACGTTGGCTGGCTGAACCGCGGTTTAAAATGCATTGCAAAGACGACGATCATCTATTTCTGAACGCTCTCTAAACAAACTAAAGATTGGCTGTTAATTTCTTCACTATTACTCCTGTTTTAGGAGTCATTTGGCCAATCGGGTTATTTGTTTGTGACGTCAGAAATGGTCGCCAGCTATATTTGGAAAGCTTCCAGAAATAAAATCTTAAGGCCATCAAAACCATTGTTCGGCAATTAATGACAATCCTTTTCCATTTCTATATTTAATTTTGTTGTCAATACGGTTTAAAATACGAACAAATCCATATTTAGAAAATTTATACCAAATTTGAAATTCGTCTTCAGAATAGATTTTTAAGGAATTATTTCAACATCTTACTACTGTCTCCCTTTGTAACTATCGAAATGAGTAATTTTAAATATTTTTATATTAATTAATATTACATTTTTTGTATCTATAAACAGTAATTATTAAAATTGTCTCGTTTGTTTAACAGTACAATGACCCTGAAATTCATTAACGTTTTATAACTGACACGATACTCGAATTGTAAATAAATGCATCTGATTTAAATGAATTGTAGTTTTAAGTCTTCACCCATTTGAATATTGGAATTGAAACATTTAAAACAAATTTAAAGTACAGTGGTGCCTCGTATAACGTACGCCTCGAATAACGGACTTTCTGTTTGACCGTTACGTGACTCGAACAACGGACTTGCTGCGAACAACGGACTTTCCGTTCGGCAGTTATGTGAGACGAACAATGGACTTTCTTCGAACAAGTACAAATGATGTTTCCACTCTTTTGCCGTTGCCAATGACAATCTGCTATTTTTAGGATATATTAGTATTATTAGAATGTATTATTAGTATATCTGAAGTAGAAATGTAATGTAATATATGTTTATGATTTAAATAAACATTAAATGTAATGTAATGTATGTTGACAATTTAAATAAACGAAATGTAATTGTGTAGATGCCGAGGTGGCGGGACGAAAAGAGGTTGTAAAAAAGAAACGGAGCGAGAGTAGCTCGTAGAAGTGTTTATTGATCTTAATTAATAAAGAATTATTCGTATTATATAATCTGGCAAGTTAAGTCATTTATAATGCATCATGGCTTCTAAAAAATCAGAAAGGTGATTTCAATTGAAACAAAGCAAGAAATCATCAGGAGTGAAAGTTGACAAAAACTTTCTTGTCAAATGGGGAGAGGTTCAGGAGTTTACCAACACTCATTATCCTAACAGAGCTGAGGCCAACAGGATCAATGATCTCTACGATGACACCTTTGTCCGTCATTTCCGACAGGTGTTAAAGAAGAAAGAGAAACAGACCACCTTGGTCATGTTTTTCAAGAAGCCAGCGGGCAAAAAACAAAGGATGAAACAAGAAGTTGACCCTACAAGTTCCATAGCCTCTCCTGAATCTGACTCCAATTAAAAAAACAATAAAAAAAGACCCGCTGCAATGTGTAAAAAGTCTGTATCTGTATGAATGTGTAAAGAAAGTGTTCTTCCACCTCCTCCTCACAACATCTGACTACCCGGCATAATTGGTGTCTGCTCCATTTTCATTTCTTATGGTACAGTACGGTTATTTTATGCTGCGGAACTAATTATATGTTTTATGTATTTCTATGGGAAAATGCGTTTCGTATAACGGACGTTTCACTTAACGGACATGCACCTGGAACGGATTAAGTACGTTGTACGAGGCACCACTGTATTTAATTTTGTTATTTTTGCTCCAAGCAATTAATTAATGAATAATTTTGTCAATTTGTACCATTTACAACATTTATCAAAGGAATGATATCTATTTTTTATCTAAACTTTTCCACAAACAAAGCTACCACTCAAATTAAAAAGCCCTCTAAACTCTCTGTCAAGTGAGTCTAGAAAGTAGGTCAAATAACTTGTTTCTAATCACTGTCTACATTGTGGCAGGCAAGAAATGCCATCTCTGCAGTGAAATTTTTTTGCACTACCCAATCTGTAAACCGCCATTGGTCTCTAAACGTTGTCTCTGCAATCGGCTGTAAGGGTGCTTTTGATCGTGCCTGGTGGTTGGGGATTCAGAATCTCCTCCTTGATTCTGGCTGCCCAAAAAACATGTATAATCTTCTTAGTAGCTACTTATCTGAGAGGCAAGTTAGCAGTATCTACAATGGCCAAGTTATGCACAGCCAGAAGATTAACAGAGTTTGTGTCCAGTGGTTGAAGGCTGGACCCTTCCTCTGGAACATACTGCATAACAGCATATTTGATATTGTTCAGCATGCCCCTACCACCCTGGACCTGCTTATTCAGGCCTACACAGACGACACTGTCGTCTTGTCTCATGCCAACCAAGAGCTCCTACAACAAGAAATGAACAACGTCCTACAGTTCATCACTATCTGGACCAATAAGAACAAGCTAGTTTTAAATGCCAAAAAATGCACGGGCATTCTTTTTCCCAGGTCTAATCCCCTGGCCAGAAACCATCTTTGACCATAGATGGGAACAGGATTAAGATCAATGACCACATTCATTATCTTATCATCAACATAGATAACAAACTCAACTGGACCATGCATA